AAAAAAAAAAACAAAAAACTTCATGACAGATTGTTAAAAAAAAGAAGAAGCACTCTGGTAATATAATAACAAAAGCTATGATCTAAGTAAAACAAAAAATGAAGAAAAATTGAATGGAATTAAATAAAAAAAACTCTCAAACTCATTTCGAATGGATGCTTTTAATGAATCCACGCCAAAATCCAAGAAGAAAAAAAACAAAAATAACAAATGACAGAACATGATCGGTGAATGAGCCTAGACAAGCACGCTTATTTGAATATAAAAGAGTCAATGCTTGGTGGTCGGGAGGTCAAGCCTCTGTCCGCTCCTCTTTTTTTTATCTTGTGCGTTAAAAAGGCTGGTGACATGTCGCTTGTTGTGAGGGGATGTGTTGTTTTTCTTCTCAATTTTCAACTACTAGAGAGTAGTCAAAAAACAGGATCGGATAAAATTATTTTACACCTATTTTTATTTAAAAATATCTTTGTAATCTAGATAAACTAACCCATCAACTCAATATAACCAAAAAGTTGTAAAAAAAAACACAGCCCTGTTAAGACGGTCTAAAATCATGAAAATATTGAATATATATAGAGATTGTTATGACAGCCTTAACGTGTAAAATATAGGCTATTACAACAACTCATATATATATATATATATATATATATATATATATGTGAAATATGTGAATGTGAATGTGAGCTGCTATGACAGTCATAAATACAAGTATTTGTGGACTATTATATATGACATCCGTGAATATGTATTGTGTTTGTTAAGTCAATTATGCATATTGAAAGATAAAATTTTAGATAGGTTTATGCAGGCAAACACTATCAAATTTAATTGAATTAGATAAAATTTATTAATTTTAAATGAAAGATCCCTTAGAGTACAACATGTATGTTTTGTGTGTTTGTTGAGAGGATCTTTGTACAAGGAAGACTTTGTCTAGATTTGAAAAAAAATACCTCATTTTGCATGAATATCTAAGACGGTGGTTTTGGCATCTAATCTTTGATAGGCTGCCACAACAAGGGAAGGATTCATTTGGTTTTGCTTGTAGGACGGTGGTTTTGGCATCTATACGAGTTGCAAATACATACAGCTGCTTAGAATTGGGAGGTTGCCGATACATACAGCAAGGTCTCTACAATGCTTAGCCGATTGAACTTCGGAATAAGATACCGTATATCTTACGGGAAATGGTCTTCAATTGCTTCAAGCACGTACGAAGGCTTCCTCCACCCTAAAGAAAGCACAAAGCTGCCTGTGTGTAAATTTGAGAAGAAAGAATGGTACAAACTTTAGTGTCTGAACTTTGAGCTTCCAGGAATCTGGAATTTTATATCTAACACACGAGGAATGGTTTTCCATTGCTTTGCATGGAAGTTCCCTTTTGTCTAAAGAAACCATCTAAATAATTCCTAACCCTGATCTATAAATGTCATTTATCCTTAGCAAAATCGATATTTCTGTCCTTGACTGCAACTATTTCAAGATATTATCAGTAGTCTTATTCGATGGACAATGATGAGAGAAAAGAGCCGGTGGAGGATGAAGAGAGAAAACAGGCATCGAGTAGGGTCTGCTATACCCAACTCGAACAGGTTCATTCAGATTTTGCAATGGCAATGGTTTTGCAGGAACAAGAAAGGGCTTTTACAATCCTCACAAGCATCGAAAGCGATAGTAACGAGGAAGAAAGTGATGAAGCTTCAAGTTCCGAAAGCGGTGCTGATGACAATGACTATGAGTTCTTTCAAAGCCAAGAATTCGAATCTGAAATGGAATTTCTGCAGGAAGGACAGGATAGTAACAGCGATGAAGACATGGAAGAGGATGAGGTTGACCCAGACGAGCTATCTTATGAAGACTTGATTGCGCTGGGAGAGTTTATAGGGCAAGAGAAGAGGGGATTGTCAAGAAATGAAATCTCTGCGTGCTTGCGTCCATGCAACTATGAGTCTTCAGCAAGCAAAACTGGGACTGATCGGTGTGTGATTTGTCAAATGGAATATGAAGAAGATGAATCACTGGTAGCTCTTTCTTGTGATCATCCTTATCATTCTGAATGCATAACCAACTGGCTTCAAATCAACAAGATTTGCCCCATTTGCACCACCGAAGTATCATCGCCTTATAAGAATGTTTAGTTATTATCCATTTGATATGCGTTGTAAAATTCCTAAGATTCAAGATTACTTTGATTGTAACACTTGCGTTCATGTACTCGATTAAAATTGTAAATCAAGAATTAAAGGTATGATAAGGTTTAGAATAAATTTTTGAACAAAACTCATGTTGGTTTCTCTCTCTCTCTCTCTATATATATATAAATAATTAACATTTTCTCTTTATTATTTTCTTATGCTTTTTTTTATTCATAGTCTAATGTTTAAGGTGGCTATAGATAGTCTTGTAAGTCCTACTTAGATTAAGACTTTTATCTTTATTTAACTAAATTTATCTTTATCTAACAAAGAAAACACTTAATTTATAATATACCATGTTAACATAATAAAAACCTTATCTAACTAAAAAAATTAATACGATGTTATTGAAACTTTGTTATTTAAAAAAATTAAACAACTTTTTTTTAATGTAAATAAAGAATATTCAAGTTGTGGGAAAGTCTTTGACAATATCATTACATAGGATAGTAATGGATAACTGACTGTTGCATTTCTTTATATTCTTTCTCTATCCATTATCCATTAGATAAGAAATTTATATATCTATAAATTACTTCATCAAGTTTCGGGTATCTAATATCTTACTATTATTTAGTATTTAATATATATTTAAAGCATGTGTGTGTGTGTGTTTTATATCGATATTGTCTTTTAAAAATTCTAAATATTTTATAAATATATCTATATAATATAAATATATATATTTTTGGATAAGATCCGGACAAGTTTCAGGTTGGGTTTGATAATATTCATACCTTGCCCATTATCTATTAAGTAAGGTAACTACAAAAACAAATACCCACCTATTTGGGTAGAGTTGGGTCTGTATCCATCAAGGTTGGATTAAATTCATCCTTATCATTAAGTCTGATTTAACGAGTCAATTTTAAAAACTCCTAACCTAACTCCTTGTTTAGCCTAAGCTTCAAATTAAATTGTATAGTAGTTTTCCTAACATGATCAATTCAATTTAGCGAGGTTGATATATCAAATTCGCTAATCGAGTCTTAGATACAACTACAATGTAAAATGATTATGCCATTTGTCCTTTTATTTTTTCTTCCTTTCTTCTTTCCTTTAAGTGAGCTTTCATTGGGCTTAAGTAAGATGAAATTCAGAACTAAATTGAAAAATTACTAAATAGTCTGAGACTAAATTGAATGAAAAGGGAAGCGTTGTTATTAGGATTGAATCAAAGAATTATTAAAGGATCGGGAACTTAATTAAAAGAAAACGAAAAAAGTATTTTACATGTGTAACACACGTACTGACGTGTAAAAAGGATGTTGGATTAGGGAGGTGAGTGTGGCTTCCCTCGTAGCTTTAATATGGGCTTTTCTTAAGGTCATTAAAATCATATTGGTGAGACTTCCTTTTCTTTTTAATCAAAGGTAAGTAAATATGTATCAGATCAAAAAAAATATACAAGATTGAAGAACCAGCAAGTTCATATACAAAATTTATAAAAGAGAGAACATACTTCCTGAAACTGTTAGTTAATAATGATTAGATGAACCTAATTATAGACAAGATACCAAACCTAAAACATAGTACAAAAAAATATAAACAACACGAATAATTAAAGCTGCAATCAGAACAAAAAGAAGCTCTTAGCAATAGCACCAAAGCAAAACAAATAACACAATCAGACTCTTAAATGATGCACAACAACAAGACTTCTTTCTAAGATAGCATGTTATGGAGGTACAACCCTAGTATGGCTCTGGAAAGCCCTTATTTTCCTTTATTTTTTTATCCTCCCTTTAGATTCAACTCATGAATCTTTCTAATTTTCTAAAAAATGTGTTGTTTTTATTCTTTGATCTTCAATTGTTTTCTTTTATTTCTAATCTTTTGAAAAACAAATAAATAAATAATTTTTTTTTAAATCAAGTGTTAATCCAATGATGTTAATTTTTAACACCATAAAAATTGCATAACAAGTTAACCAAAATAGAACATCAAGTTAAATTTCAAATAAAATCAATGTGAAACAATCAATTTTTTTTAAAAAAATCTACATGAATTAAAAAAATAACACCGTTCAAATTCATAGCGGCAATGAATTTCTCTTAATGTTTTGTTAATTTTTGAAGTAGATATTAATTTCCATTTTCTATTTTAATGAACTAGAATTTTATAAGGTCAATGGATCTAGGTAAATTGTAGATGAAACAGTGTTTTCCTTAAGCCCATGTTAATTTTTCACGGAGCTCACTAAGGTCAATTTCCATTTTCTATTTTAATGAACTAGAGTTTTAATTTATAATATTATTTGTGTCGGTATGAGTCATGTTTTACCACTTATCCATAAATGAGCACGCTCACCCACTTGACCTCTTCCCAACTCACCTATCAGTCCATTCAAATGTTTGACTAATTTTCATAACTTTTACAATTTGACACCCAAAAACTTAATTGGAAAAATTCATTTAATGATAGACTAAATTGTAATTAAAAATTTATAAGGACCAGGGACTTTTCTTATAAGGATTGATTTGTAATATATAAAAATAAAATGAAAGAATTAAAACAAAAATTTGAAAATTCTTAGAAACTAAACGAATATTTTCATTTTTTTCATTTTTCTTATCTAATAATTCCTTACCTAATCCCGCTTAAAAATATTTCAGGTCAATTTATCAGTGTGCTGTTAAAATTTATTATTGAATTTTTTTTATGGCTTGTACTCTTTTAACTGGATATAAATCGGTTAACTAGTACAAGCAATTTTTTTTTTTTTTTGATTAACGTGGGTGTCCGGGCCAGCTTACGCGCACCACGACTAATCCCACGGGCCCTGAAGTTAACGACCATGTAAGCCTCCAGTGGCCATCATATGAGCAACCAAGGACTCGAACCTGAGACCACAGAGGGAGCAAACCTCTTGATCCCAAGTCCTTACCACTTGACCACCACCTAGATGGTTTAGTACAAGCAATTTTGTTACCCCGAGCGGTGCATCACTCCGACCAGATTACCGGAGCGATAAATCGGCTTATGCAAACGGTAACCAAGGAGTCCCGTTCAGGCTAATAAAATAGAGGCAATCCTGGTATATTGTTAAGAAGACAACAGTAACCTATTGAATAAAGAAAATGATATAAAAATAAAAAATAAATGCAAACGGATAATTACACTTGTCAGCAAAGAAAATATCATTGATTTTATCTTTTCTCGACATTAAAAAATCAGAGAAGCTATTGATTTTCTGGGGTTGAAATATCTGGACCCATTTGAAGTCCGCTACGAGGAATACACCTGCTCCGTCTATTTTAGAATTGCGCTGCGATGTTTTTTAACATAAATTTTGATTAAAAAATATATTAAAATAATTTTTTTAACATTAATATATCAAAATACTAATTAAAAAAAAACTCTAAAAAACAACAGATTTAAACATACACCCTTTACTCTGGTGTGTCCCAACCCTCTCCTTCAACATGGCCGGAAAAAAACAAGTTATTTTGGGCCGTAAACATCACTTTCACACACCTCCAAAACAAAATGCTATCAGCACAACAAAATAAGCATGCGATGGGAGCACAACTTCAATGTCTTGTAATGGAGCATGCGGCATGGAGACGATGTCGACCACATAACGACAATAAAGTTTTAAAATGGGGAAGATCAAAGTCTGAAAAACAAAGCAAAACTATAGGAATTTGCATTCCATTTATCTCAGTTAATTAATAATTAAGTTCTACTTCCTCTTCTTACCCTCTCTTCTTAAATCCAGGTATAGACATGGCGATTTAAGCTGAGTTAGACGGGATTTCCTGACGTTAAGCCAAAAGGAGAGTATAATTTATGCTTTTTTATTTTGATAGGGAGGAAAAGATTAAGAGACTTAAAGTGACGTTTTCTATTTATTACATCATTAACTGGTTTGTAAACTTATATTTCAATATATATAGTGCTTCATCCATGAATCAAGTCGATTATCCAAACTTATATTTCAAAAATATTGGATTTATGATCCACTCTTACAAGCGGATTCAAGTCGAGTTTATATATGCTTGCTATCTCTAGATAAGAGTTTGACAATTAAAAGAAATTTATCCCTTCATTCATGCAAACAAACACTATATTTTATCAGCTTAATTTTCTTTAGTAAAATGAAACCAAAAACCCAAATAAACAAGGTAACCAATAGCAAAATAGAAACAGCGTGGCCATTAGTCTCCTGCACAATCAATTCTTAGCAATTCCTGAGTCTTTTTCAGAAAACCAGAACCAGCAAATTAATACAACTGTAAACTACTTCCCCACAGCCCTGTCCGGCTCTAATGCAAAGCTGTAACCTTCAAAATCTCGATGGGTATTGGATAGCCTTTTATAATATATACACATGACCATGTGCTTGATCCCAAGCTGTCTGCGCTACTGCCAAAAGCAAATTGATTTACACTGGAGATATCTTTTCAACTCGTCTATGACATATAAAAATGATATATATCCCGTCAAAGCGAAGATCACGCTCGCTTGTTATGTACATAAAACAAAACAGCCGGAAGACTTATATTTGAGGGAAGTGCTGTCCAACACCAATACTTCATGGATGATCAAGCATGAATGTTGCGACATGTTTAGTATGATGTAATATATTGCAGTGGCATGAGTAATACACTGCCAGAATTTTTAAATTCATTAATTGAATTTTTTTATAGTATTTATTTTTATATTCTATCTGCATTAATTTTACTAACAGATTTATAGATAAAAATAATTCATTAAAAAAAATTTATCAGTGATTTGTGATCTATTAATAAATCTGTTAGTTATAATTTTACTGATAGACAAAGCATGCAAAAAAAAACTACCTGCTTTATTTTGTTAGTATTTTCATTGATAAATATAATATATTATCGACAGAAAAACTACATGCATTCCATTAGTGATTTTTTCTATCCATCGTTATTTCATCGATAAATTTGATATATAACTATCAAACATATCATTTGTTATTCTGTCAGTATGTAAACAGTAGTAGTTATATTTACAGTAATTCTTTTCCAATTCTATAAAATATACTGTCAAACTAAGTTTATCGATAACTCCATAAATAATAATTTAAAAATATTTTTTTA